CATGGGCGTCAACATGGGGGTTTACACTGTGTTGGGGGCACGCACGGTGGGGGCCATGGGCGTCAACATGGGGGTTTACACTGTGTTAGGGGGCACGCGCGGTGGGGGCCGTGGGCGTCAACATGGGGGTTTACACTGTGTTAGGGGGCACGCACGGTGGGGGCCGTGGGCGTCAGCATGGGGGTTTACACTGTGTTAGGGGGCACGCACGGTGGGGGCCGTGGGCGTCAACATGGGGGTTTACACTGGGTCAGGGGGCACAGTAGGGCTGTGGACGTCAGCATGGGGGGATTTACACTGTGTTGCGGGGCATGCACAGTAGGGGCTGTGTGTGTCAATGTGGGGGGTTTACACTGTTAGGGGGCATGGTAGGGGCCATGGATGTCAACACGGGGGGTTTACACTGTGTTGGGGGCACGCGTGGCAGGGGCCATGGGTATCGACATGGGGGGCTGTGGCTCCCGACAAGGGCCTGGCCAGTGCATGCAGGTCCGGAGGGAGGCAGCAGTGGGCCTGGTGAGGCCCTGAAATGAGGGGCCCCGCTGGCTGGAGCGGAACGAGTTGGGAGCTGAGGTCAGAGAGAAGCAGGGCGCTCCAGGGCTCGGGCCCTGGGGGGGTCCCAGCCGCGGAGTGAAGGACTGAACCCTGAAAGGACCCCTCAGAGGCTACACGGAGAACAGACTGCATGCCAGGTGAGTGGGAAACCCAAGATGGCCCCTGTGACCCCACTGTGGATGGCAGACTGGCCCCCAGCAATGCCCATGTCCTCATCCCTGGCCCCTGTGAAGGTGGCCCCACCTGGCAAAAGGGAGTAAGGCTGCAGCTGGGAGGTGACCCTGGGTCGTGGGGGGGCAGTGCAATCACAGGTGTCCTTATGATAGGAGGCAGCCGAAGGGGACTAGAGAGACGGAGCCTGAGGACTCAGCCCCAATCGCTACCTTGGACGGGGAGGCAGAGCCATAGGCCAAGGGACACAGTGGCTCGCGAAGCCAAGAAGGCCAGGAAACGGTCCTCCCCTGGAGCCTCCAGAAGGCCCCAGCCCTGAGCCACCTGAACTTTGGCCCCAGGCCGTCTGGGGCTCCTGCCTCCAGGGCTGTGAGAATGGAGCTATGTGGTTCCCAGCCACTGCGTCTGAAGTCACTGTTACAGCAGCCCAGGAAGCTAGCACACCCCTCCCTGGTGTTTACATGCAGTGTGACCCCTCCTCGCGGGCAAGGTGGCCATGGGGACAGGGTCATGCTCACTCTCCAGGCCTGCAGCTCGGAAGCAGGATTCAGACAGTGTTTACAGACCCGCAGCGGAGGCGGGCGGTGGGCAGAGCAAGGGGAGGACCAGGCCGGGCCGGGGCTGCTGTGGGGGGCTGGGCTCGTGTGGGGGGCTGGGCCCCTGCGGGGGGCTGGGCCCGTGCGGGTGGTTGGGCCCCTGTGGGCAGCTGGGCTCATGTGGGTGGTTGGGCCCCTGCGGGGGGCTGGGCCCGTGCGGGGGGCTGGGCCCGTGCAGGGGGCTGGGCTTTGTGCGGGTAGCTGGGCCCCTGTGGGTGGCTGGGCCCCTGCGGGTGGCTGGGCCCCTACAGGTGGCTGGGTTCGTGTGGGTGGCTGGGCCCCTTCGGGTGGCTGGGCCCCTGCGGGTG